GAGGTGTCTTCCCACCGTCTCTCCCCCTCCCCCTCAAATAAAAGAAAACAACAACAAAAAACAAAAAACAAACAAACAAACAAACAAAAAACAAAACAAAACAAAAAAAAAAACGGAGTGTAAACAAAAACCAACACAATTTCTGTTTTTAATCACACGGAGGGAAGTGCGTCGTGCCGTTACAAACCACCTCAATTCGCCTCACCCACCTACCCACCCACATATCTTTATATATATATATATATATAAAGGTATACACATATGCCACAAGTAGGCAATGGCACGCACATAAGCACCACAATAAGATCAAAAGCAAATTGAACAAGAAAGGCGCGCACAGACACACACATACACAAAAAGTTATTGTATACGTATGGAAATATATGTTTAGATAAATTCTTCATTCATTCCATCCTTTCCTTTCTTCCTCCCTCTCCTCATTGTCGTATTTTTATTTTTATTTTTATTTTTCTCTTGCCTTCTTACACATGCACCAAAAGACAAAATCCCTCCTCTTTTCCTTTTCGTATTCTTCGTCTGCTCCTCTATGCGCAATTAAAGAAAAATGCCAGCACACCGTTCAGTCATAATAGAGGCATAAATAAGGCAGAAATGAAGAAAGGATCTGATACGGAATGGTATTGCATCACGTACCACAGTTCTTTCCATCATTATATATATATATATATATATATAAGAATATATAATCTACCTGTGGGCCTACATACGGCAAAGAAATGAATAATATAAGGTTAGATTTTTCTTCAAGCATAAACACCGCAAAATGTACGCACGCTTACATGTGTGCTTACGGCCCCAAGACACTTGATTCCGATCCCCTTTCTTTTATTCTGTTTTCTCATTTGCGTCGCGTTATTCCCTTCCGCACCATCCATAGATACATGTGCATTTATATTCTTCAGGGTGTGTGGGCACTCAATACGTGTGTATGTCTCTGTGTTTGTGCCCCTCTCTTCTGAGAAAATAGCAGGCCTATTTTCCTTTTCTCTCTCTCTCTCTCTCTCTCCTTTTTTTTTTTTTTTTTCCATTGCGTCTCACCACCTCGCGAACAGACTGAGAATAACCTCAAGGAATCGTCCTCTAATTTTTGTTATTTGCCGTTGGCACCCTCCATACCTACACGCTTCTCCCATCCGCAAACAACAAACAGCCCGCCAATTTGTCTTAAAAAAAAAAAAAAAGTAAACAATAGTAATAAATAAATAAATAAATAAATAAATAAATAATAATAAACACGCTCTTTTAATTTTCTCTCCTCTTACAATACACGTGGCTTTTCTCTCCTCTCTGTCCCTTCCACCCCCTACTGGTGGTTCATTATTTTTTCTTCTCGACGCCCTAACCCTCCTCCCCAATTACCCGGTCCATCTGAGCCATTGTGCCTCTCTTCACTAACTGAAACCTTTTTTTTTTTTTTTTTTCTGTCCTCTCTCCCTGTGCGCATGCACACACCATTCAACCATGCTGGGAGTTGCTATCAGAAGAAAGAGCCTCATTGGGAGCACTATCTTGCAACGGTGTTCGCGGTTCAATCTTCTCCACCCTGCATATCAGCTGCCTCCAGCTCTCAATAAATTGCTGCAGCCGCAGTGGAAGCCGTTCCCCACGGTTCGAGTGCAACTCCTTGAAACTACTCCGCAGGATCCAGTCGCGACAGTTCTGCTTCAGTGTCTTGGGCCCAAGGTCAAGCTCCGCCGTGTCGCTCATAAACTCCCCCCGAAACCGACCTCCGAACACCACCATCGTGTTCTTACAGACAACAGCGACGTGACATTCCCTCCTAGACGGGCAGTTTTCATCCGGCTCGTGCATAACCTCAAATGTGTTCGAATCCACATGATACGTGAAGAGGTCGTTCAGTTTCTTTTTTCCATTCCACCCGCCAAAGACGACAACCTTGCCATGATGCACTACGACGCTGTTCCGCGCTCTGCCAAAGAGAGGGCCGCTGTTAGGGGACTCAATCGGCCGCCACATGCAAGTGTCGTAATTGTACATGTACATATCTTCACAGCACTCTCCTTGGGCGCTGCGCCCACCAAACATGATCATATTGCGTCCACATGTGAAAGCGGCGTGGGCTGAGCGTGGGGTCGGTGGATCCCCATGTTGCGGGCACTCCATCCATGTGTTTGTCTGGAAATCAAAAAGGTAAAGGTCCGAAAGGCGTCTGTTGCTGTTCCGGCCGCCGCATTTACCAGCAAATATATACATGCACCTCTCAAACAACACAGCGCTATGGCAATACCGAGTTGATGGTGGCTGACCGCTAGCCTCAATCTGTGCGCACAGACCCTCCTCACTAGTGGAAAACAACTTATTGAACCTCCCACGTCCATTGCATCCACCAAATATGTATATTTTCCCCTCATAATACACAGCGGAGTGAAACGCCCTGGAGCACTGCACCTGTCCTGTCATCTCAATCTTTGACCAATGCTTTTTATTCACATCAAACACGTAAAGATCATCCAAGTAGTTAGAAATACTCTCATTCCTGTCATTGACACCACCGTAGAGGAAAATTTTGGTCTCCGTGCCGTTGGCGCATAATGTGTGTCCTATTCTTCCCGGTGGGATATCCCCCGTGCACTGCACGCTGCGCCAGCGAGAGGCCGTGTGACACAAGGACATCGCCAGAAATTGGCGGAGAGGGCTGAAGTTGAAACAAAGAAGGGAGGCCAAAACAAATAAATAAGGAGAGGATCGCTTGTCTCACTATTGGCCTCGCAGAAACAAAAAATTTCGACGACCGTAAAAAAAAAAAGGGCCAAAGCCAAATAAAACAACAACAACAAAGCGAGTGACCTCCGCGGTTCTATTTGACTCCTTGAGAGAGAAAAAAAGAGGACAGCCGTTTTGTTTTGTATTCCCTTTTACTCCTGCACCAAACAACCCCGTCCCAGCAAGAAGGAAGAAAAGTAACAACAAAAAAAAAAAAAAAGGAGGAAAGAGAAGTACACACAGATGCATGCATGCATGTATTTTATTTATGTACACACGTAACTGCGAAATCGTTGAAAACAGCAAGAAGATCCTTGAAGAGAAAAGGCAACAACAGCAACCAAATAAGAAGAAGAGTTCCTTCTCCGATCAACCAACCAACCAATCAATTGCCCACAGACACACAAACAATACAACTGAAAACAACAACAACTTGAACCGCATCGGCCGCCAAAGAATAAAATGCGTTTCCGTCAGTCCTCTTCGCGCGGTCGTCGTCTGGCGGCTCGACGCGTTTTCTGCGTGGTGGTGTTGTCACCCGTCAGCGAGGGCAAAGGACGATGCTGCGCCCCTCTCACAAACTCGGGAACATACTCCACATCAGAGTCATCATCGTCGGCACCTGCAGGTTGTGTGCCTTCCTCGCGTTTCAGCCCCGCAAAAGGTGTGGTTTCACATTTCACCTGCGCGAGCGGTAGTGCACCAGACGTTGTCGACGCCGCAGGGGTATTGTTCGATGCACGCACTCCCTCTGCAACAAATGAAAAAAACACTTCCCACGCCTCCCGTAGCTGCTGGATCTGTTCACGTGAGGCGGGAGCATCAACACTCTGAACCTCATCGGTGTCACCACTCAGATTCATTGCGTTTGTTAGCTCTTTCCCACTTCGCAGCTGCACAACAAATGACTTCACGTTTCGCATCAGGTGGGGCGGTAAAATACTTTCCCATGTGAGAATCATGGCATCGCACCACAGTGCTCCGCTGCCTAACGTCGAAACCACACCAACGAGATGCCAAGGCATCTGCTGCACAACGTAGTCGTGCAGTCGTGGCGAAATGAGAGGGACAAACACATGTGGTGCGTGTTTCATGAGTGAATCGAGCAAATACCAAAGTCCTTTATTTTCATCCGACTCCAGATCCTGCTGGCGGACGAGTGCCTTCCGCAGTGCAGACCACGTGTCTGTGGCTTGCGTCAGGTGGCGGAGGGCCACTTGCGTCAGCGCCTCCACACGCGACCTGGAAGGGGTGCAGGACTCCAACATGACAGCAAAAAGTTCCTCACTAAACTCTGGCGGAGCGTACGACACCATCTTCTTTCCAGTTCTGAAGTCAACGGAAAAAAAAAAAAAAAAGAAGAGAAGAGAAGCCCCTTCTTGCAGCACCAAACAGACTCCCATGTTTATTCACAAATTTCCCCGCCCCGCTCCAGAAAGAGAAAAAAGAATCCTCACCCAAAACAAATGGAAATTGGTTAGGACCTCGCACCCCCGTTCTGCAAAGCCGGCGGAAGCGTGCCTTTTGCCAACGGCTTATAGGCCGGATGGTGGTAGTAAACAATCCACAGCCACCGCAAAGCTGCCTCCGAGTGCTTCTGAAAGCCAACAGATTTTTTGCCCAATTCCACATCTGGACCAACATCAACCACATCGATTGTTGGCCGTGTGACGACTGCAATCGCTGCTAGTGTGAGACCTGCCAGAAACGATAACGATACACGTGCATTCGTCGCCTGAAATAACCAACGGTGGTTGCGCGCCACCCTCTCCTTCTCAACCTCAGTCATTTGCCACCGAAGCAAAAAAAGGATCCGCGTAAAAAGTACACTACTTCGCGGTGACACTCCAACATACAAACGAGGTGCCTTCCACAGCATAAGATACAAACCAGACATAAACAAACAGGGAGTGACAAAAAGCTCAAGACCGCGCCGTCCCCTGTTATGTACCTGTTGTGGCAATTGAGTCTCAACAACGTACTTCGCTCGCTGTTCCACAGAAGAAAGTTCAAGAATGAGAGATCTCAAATCCCCAACAGAGAGAGTCCGCGGCGGTTGCACCAAGACGTCAACAAGTCCCTCTTCCCGCAGCTTGTAGCCAAGAATAGGGCATGGTCGCAGCAAGCCCCAATCCAACACTTCCTGTACCGCTTCCTTTTTCGATGGAGAAGCGCCTGCTCCGTCGTCTTTCCGCACGGCAGGCGTTACTAAAGAAACTGTCGAGGCAACAGAAGCAGTCTTGCAATCCATGCGAGCAGTAGGCAACGGAAAAGAAATCGATGAATTAAATGAATCTCCGCCACCCCTAAAAGGCCAACGCAGGGCAGGTATCCCCCAAAATGAATATTCCGTATCACGTGGCTCCCTTAAACGAGCACGAGAAGGGTTAAAAATGGCACTCAGAGCCTTTTCTGAATCCTGCAGCCTCACCTCATCGTCGTCCGTCATCAACTGCCAAGGAGACCACCAGACCATTCTGCACACAAAACCGCTAAACCTCACAAATAAACAACACCAATAGCAGCTGCTGGCCGGTTCCTCAACTTATCTAAAGAAGTCAAACAAGAAGAGAAGAATGAGTGAATGGAGAGGCAGTGGGTCCGCCACCTCCTCAGTGTTTGCTCCAACTAGATAAATATGTGTTCGGAAAACCACACTCGTGGCATGTTGCGCTTTGTTTGGAGCAGAAATTTTTTATTGCTTAAGAATTGTTAAACTTTGGGATCTTCCAACAACACGACGCCGCCGCGAGGCGGAAATCAAAAGAGGGTGCGAGGGATAACAACAACAAAAACAAAGAATTTCGTCTTGCCGTTATCGGTTCCCTGCTTCCCAGAATCGCAGTCAATCAAAAATTCATAAGAGAGGGAAAAATCGTAAAGAAATGCATTCGTTTTACCGGAACAAATTCATTTTGGTGGCCAGTTTTCATTGCAAAAATTCTCTTCACGAGCTTCTAGTCAACACACAAAAACGGGCGACATCAAAGAAGGAAGAGAAGACGCAGAAATACACACGACTTAGAGATGAGCCGGAAAGAAAAAGACGGTCCACCGCATGCAGCACAAAAGTACAACAGCACGGTCCTCTCAGAAGCACCACACAAACGGAAAAAACAAACAAAAAAACAAAAAAATCAAAACAAAAGGCCCTGAAGTTCCGTCAGGTGGCGCTGACAGGGACAAAATGTGGGCTGATGGAAGGAAGGGAGGTGTGTGCGTTTAAATGGGACGGGCACCCCTTTCTTTATTCATTCCTCGTCCTCCCGAATGAATCCGATGGCCCGCACGCCAGCCACCGTTGGGGAGCACGTCCATCCCCACCCGGCGGAGATGTGCAGGAGACCCCCAGGACGTCTGCGAGGGAGCTGCAGTGGGGGGCGTGGGATGCACCCCCGTTACGCAGCCACTCACGACGAATGCGGCGGCTCGACACTCCGCCGCGGTCGAGAAACAGTAATAACAAATGGAGCGAGCAGTAAACAAAACAAAACAAAACAAAACAAAAAAAAAAAAAGCAGGTGGGCAAATACACACAAAAAGAGGCCCAGCACCACGCATTCATTTCTCCAACAAAACAAATACAAACGTGTCTCATCAACGACGGAAGGCGACGTGGGCCCCTCGTGGAGGCCCCCGCCAGAGTACACCACTTACTTCCCTCCCCCTTCCGCTTATTTCCACTCGCTCCTCATTTCTTCGTTCCTTCCTCGCCCAAGACAAAAGCATTCTTCCACACACACAAAAAAAAAAAACAAATAAAAACACAAACACAGAGAAGGGGGTGCATGCAGGTAATTATGGCGCCCGCTCCAAATCTTCCAAACCTGTTACAAAAAGAAATTATTGGACGCACTCAATAAAAACAAATAAAAGTAAAGGAAAAAGAAAGGAAAATAACATCATTAAAAAACACAGAGAGTTCATCCGCAAAGCTGCTTGGCACGGCGCTTCACCGAACCACGTGCATTTGTTGATCTCCGACGTCACATGAATGCTGTAAACGCGACCCATATGGCAGATTCAGAAACACAACGGCGAAAAACGTCAGGCTCCATGATGCTACAATGAGGCCAAAGCCATGGCCGAATTTAAGCTGTGTTTTGAAGGGTGTTACGATGCAGTCACCTATTTTCTCTTTGTACACGTGGACCATAAGTCCCCAAACGACCCCAACCGTCACCATGCCAGACACCAACAGCACATTCGTCAAGGTCCTGAGAGACTTTTTGTAGAGGTGTGACAACACGCCAAGGATGGTGGCAACAAGCAGCAGGGCAATGGAAACGATGGAGGAAGCTTCTGCCACTCTGAATAATCCCAATACTGCATAACATTCATGGATGACGTCCTCGCCGGAAATAATGTATTCCGTGCCGGAACAAAACAGCTTCCCACCCCACAGCGTCACGCACGGATCGATTAAAGGTAATGGATTCGTCCTGAAGCGAAACTGGTCAAGCGGCGTCCCAACCAGCATTAACAGGAGGGCGGTGAAGCTCACTACGCCGTAGAGAATCGCACCGACCATGCTCATTGCTTCCTACGTGAGAACAAGGAGTGAAAACAAAGAAAAAAAGCTGTCGAGTGGGAACAGTGTTCGTGGGGCATCCATACGACACACACCTTCGCCCACACGGGGGGTCAGCAACGCAACAAGACACTTTTTTGCTCCACGCATGGATGGATGCCGCCAGCAGCAAGCCGCTGTCTGCAACACTTTCTGTTGGGACATCCAGACATCCGTGGTGGCATTGCACACGAGTGTATCCCAAAAAGCCTCGTTGCGTGAGCTGGAGTCGTCGCGTCCCTCGCCCCGTCCTGCCTTAAATGGAGTGTGGGTGCCAACCTTACCGCCGCCTCGCAAGGTGTGAGGGATGATGGGCTCACGCTGCCTGTAATTGTCTCATGGCCCCTACAGGCTTCCGATAGGCGCATTTAGCAGCAGACAAGTGTGCGTGGCGAAAAGCGATGAGGGCTCCATCGAAGCCGTTGCTGTCTGTCCAAAAAGCCCAGCAACGAAGGAGCGGTGGACAGGGCATAATTCGAGGCGCGGAAGGGCGGCCGTTGTGATGGAGCGGGCCTCAATGGGCGCCTCGATGGTGACGTAACAGAGTCGTTGATCGCACGCTAACGCTTCACCTTCGTTGTAGATGCGAATTAGCGAGCTGCCGTCACGTATCTTGGGCACGAACGGAGGGGTGGCGCCACGCACTGCCTTCCTTGCGCAATCAGAAACCTCTCAAGCGGAGTCGGGATGGTCGCCACAGGCGTCACTATTCCGCACGCTGAAAGATTTCACCGTGGAGCAAAGAGGGCCTTCGTTTGAACGCACATCAGCAAAGGCAGCCAACATTTCTTTTCCACGAATGCAGAGCAGGAAATAATGCTTTTTCCACAGCCACACAACCGAGCAAAGACGGGAGTGCGTGGGTGGAAAGATCCTGTTGTCCTCGGGCCCGGCGCAGGCGCTGCTCCGCGACTCCGCGATGGACAGCGCCTTTTGTCGATTACTTGCTGTGCCGTTGGGAGAACGCTGTTGCCGCAATGGCCAACTGATGGGAGCGCTGCTGCCTTCTGCAATTTTTTATTTTCTAACCGGACACAGAAATGACACCGAGAACGGCCACGCGGGCACTGAGGACGCCACTGTGCTTGGTGAGGACGCAGCGCATCCCCCTCTTCCTCATGCACTCCTTGATCTGCTATTGCTTCTGCCGGTGCTGTTGACTCTACCACCCAAATCCTGCAGCACGCACACGCGCACAGACTTGTTGGGGTGTGGGAGACGGTGCACGTGGCTCCATCCAGCAGGCACAAATTGTCCGCTCTCCAGCCCCCAACCAAAAAGAATGCACGAGGTGCTCCCATTGTCGGAGCGACGGTCCACGCCCGCGGAGTTGACCCGCTCCAGCACCTCTTGAAAATTCACGTCCCGGATGTGCTTTGGACGGCCCTCCTAAAGAGCGACCGTCTCACGTGGCGCGACGGAATCAAAGCGGTCGCCATCCAAAAACACCGCCGAGAAGCCCTTTCCGCCGGCTCCCGCCAAAAAAAAAAAAAAAAAAGACACCAATTATTTGCACCCGCGCCTCGGGCGCACGTAGGGCGGACAGCGGCAGCTGCAGGCCCTCTTCCAAGCGGAGAGGCAGCACACAAAAACGGGCGACATCAAAGAAGGAAGAGAAGACGCAGAAATACACACGACTTAGAGATGAGCCGGAAAGAAAAAGACGGTCCACCGCATGCAGCACAAAAGTACAACAGCACGGTCCTCTCAGAAGCACCACACAAACGGAAAAAACAAACAAAAAAACAAAAAAACAAAACAAAAGGCCCTGAAGTTCCGTCAGGTGGCGCTGACAGGGACAAAATGTGGGCTGATGGAAGGAAGGGAGGTGTGTGCGTTTAAATGGAACGGGCACCCCTTTCTTTATTCATTCCTCGTCCTCCCGAATGAATCCGATGGCCCGCACGCCAGCCACCGTTGGGGAGCACGTCCATCCCCACCCGGCGGAGATGTGCAGGAGACCCCCAGGACGTCTGCGAGGGAGCTGCAGTGGCGGGCGTGGGATGCACCCCCGTTACGCAGCCACTCACGACGAATGCGGCGGCTCGACACTCCGCCGCGGTCGAGAAACAGTCAAAATAACAAATGGAGCGAGCAGTAAACAAAACAAAACAAAACAAAACAAAAAAAAAAAAAAAAGCAGGTGGGCAAATACACACAAAAAGAGGCCCAGCACCACGCATTCATTTCTCCAACAAAACAAATACAAACGTGTCTCATCAACGACGGAAGGCGACGTGGGCCCCTCGTGGAGGCCCCCGCCAGAGTACACCACTTACTTCCCTCCCCCTTCCGCTTATTTCCACTCGCTCCCCATTTCTTCGTTCCTTCCTCGCCCAAGACAAAAGCATTCTTCCACACATGCCCACTTATATTGTTAACCACATGTTATGTATTTGGCAAGGAGTCTTTTTGGTATTTGTTTTATTAAATAATATTGCTGGATATTGACGTCACATTTTAATTATTTGGGGGCTCTACTGACTTTTTTTTCTTTAATTCTTTTTTTTTTGCTCTTCATTTCGTGTTTTTTTTTCTTGCCTCACCTATAAAGCTTACTTTTTCTTTCTTTATCTTACATATAATTATCTATATATATATATATATATATATATTTCTAATGGACAAATTGGTAGTACTCAATACCAATGTCTTGGAAGGCCATGTCGTTTCGGCTTCCAATGTGAGCAACAACAAATTCTTTTTGACGATTTCCTGCTGCGAGATCACTCTTAAGAGATCCATTATGCATCCCCTCGTACTGCTCTCGTGTGAGGTTCACAGGTTTCTCCAATGCTGCTGCAACGTTAATCTTTGAAGCGGCTTCTTCCCAGCCTTTTACTGGAACAATTGGGATCGCTTCACTCGCGTCACCGGAGCCGTATCCAACCATCACCATTGGGTGA